TGTGCCTGAGTTGATGTGTGTAACGAAAGTTGTCATAGGAGCTGCTACTGCAACTTGTAATGTAGTGGCGTCGATATAGAGGATAGGGGTTTCATTGCTCGGCTGATCGTTTCTGGATGATGACATGATTCTGTAACACGAAAGATAAGGATTTTGTGAGCGATTCTGGTTGACCCTACATGTACTTCGATTGTTCAAGTAAAGAGTAAGAGTATGTTCTCGAATGTTTGATCTACATCCCTATGATGCAGTCCTAGTACAGATTGGAAGTATGCTCGCGAAGGTTTGACCTACCTCCCTATGATGCAGTCCTAGTAATGAGTGGAAGTAAGTTTTTAGAATGGTCTCAAGACGTTTGTCGTTCAAGGCGAGGTACCGTTGGTCGGTGAATAACATGATCCAACCACTAAAAGAGACTGGAAAATGTCTCCGGAGCTAAATTGCTATAGTCCAATGACTTGACTAATGCATGTTTCAGGTATACTCTAATGAAAGTATGATGAGAGTATTCGAATAAAGTAATTGACACAGAAGTTAGCCGACTGTCAATATCTTTGATATTCATGACGTAAAAGTTCCGGAAAATAACCTTGTAATAGGTCTTACATCATATCCAGAGTAGATAGTCCTTGATAGCATAAAGACCTAACTAAAGTACTTATAGTACGAGATAGTTTCATAGAAAATGCCACATCGGGCATAGACAGAAAAACGATTCCTTTTAACAAGGAAAAATAAAGTAAAGCATCTACTACTGGCGACGGTCATCCCTCTAGTGAACTCTCAGTTCAGCCAGTTGACGTTCCATATCAAGCAGGTATCATTCGTATACCCTCTGAAGTACTCGGAGCTCTATGACTTCGGCTCAGATTTCGACTATTGCTTGTAGCAGGGTTTCGTGGTCTCTCTCAGATCTCTCACGAGCATGTTCAAGGCTGTTGGTGTGAAGGATATGCATCCCTCCATTGGTGTCAACTTCTGCGATACGGTGTAGAGCTGTCCTGCCCTGAATTTCGTTTCGAGCAACTCTTCGGATTAGGATTGGTAGAACTTTGTCTGCTGTGCTCCCTTCATTTACATTGAAGAAGCTTCGGTCTCCATTAAACGGTATAGGCTGATCTTGATCTTCGCTCCATGCTTCCAAACATTCGACCCATGGAGGCGTCGGGCCATGAAAAGCCAGGCGAGGGTCAGGATTTGGAATGGGAGCTATCGGAGGTAGGTTCTCAACCTCGGGTTTGGAGTTAGCACCATCCGAAAGGTCTTCAGCATGGTGATCATTCACAGGAATAGGATGATCATTCCCTGGTTCTTCTCCAAACCATCCAGCAATGACTTCGTTCGGAAGGTACTGGTTGCCGTGGGGATGGAGTCCAGCCATGTTATCTACGCAAGAATTGGGGTAAGAAAATAATTATTAGACGAACTATCTAGATAATTATTTAGAAAATCTTCATTAGTTACATCACTATTTGTGAAGTGCATACCAGTTATATGTAATCGAAACAGGATAGGCTTTTAAATAAGTGACCTTAACTCCAAATTCACACAAAATAAGGGTAAAGCAAAATTTTTACAGATTCTAAGTTTGTAACATCCTACTTACATATAGCCTTAGTGTATCCACTTAGAAACTATCAACTTAGTAATGAAGATCCCGTTTTAGTTCTCAAGTATAAAGTACTTATAGTAACACCAAATACCCCTATAATATTTTAAGTTTAATGCTATGTTCTACTGTTCTTATTGTGGTAGTGTTGGTAAGTTTTTAGACTTGTTGCAACCTCACAACCATCCTTAGGCACATGCTAGTCACTCCTCACAACTATGGTGTAGTGTCGAACTACAACTGTACTAATTACCTTAAGTCTATGGTAATTTTGTAAGTACTGTAGTATTTGTAATAAGTGACTACTTCTATACTAATATTGCCTTATTTGAGGGATAAGACATAATGTGATGGCTAGATTCCAGGCTAGATGCTCCACTGTCAAAGGGATTTTGGGACCCATACATGACCCCTGCATCTCTGCAAGCTGTGAACATCCACATTACTATGATCACTTATACCCAATATAACTATCACAATGCGTTGTGATTCATTGGTATAGTTAGATCGTGAAATCGTTCCATGCTAAAGCACCTAGTGATGTTTGTTCTATTATCGTATATGTAAACACACTCATGTAAACGTATCTATGTAACTTACTCATGTAAGCGTAATCATGTAATAGTATAGTAGTGTACTGTAATATTCTGCGTGTGCTAGCTGTACCGTGTGTTCTCTCTCTTTCTAGCATGGATGTTTGTTTCTCATCACTATGTATTATGTTTGTTTCTCTTCACTATGTATTATGTTTGTTTCTCATCACTATGTATTATGTTTGTTTCTCTTCACTATGTATTATTTTTGTTTCTCATTACTATGTTTTATGTTTGTTTCTCTTCACTATGTATTATGTTTGTTTCTCATCACTATGTACTATATTTGTTTCTCATCACTATGTATTATGTTTGTTTCTCATCACTGTAATTTATGACTCATGTATGAACTGACTCTTTGTAGGATTCATTGTTCTAGTATTAGTATTAGTAAAACCCTAAACTACGCCTATTGTAGTTTACTAGTAATATAACTTGTACGTATGAACATGGGAGTATACCGTTGCTACCCAAGGGTACTTAATGAAATGAAAGGATCTTTATGACTATATATATACACATGATATATAACAAATATTTAAACGACCTTCGGACAGGTACCCGATAGCCCACCAGACCACATCTCAAGTACGAAAAGGAAATAGGGCGGATAGGCCTTCCTAATCCTTTTAAACATTACTTATATAATTATACATACTTAGACATGCAATTGACAATATAAAAGTATAAAAGAAGTTTCATAAAAGCATTTGATATATAAAAGAGTTTAAGTAAAAGTATTTGATAAGTAAAAGAGTTTGTAAAACAGTTTGAAGCAATACAGTTTGATAAACAGGTTGAACACTAAGAAAACCACTAGTTTTGTAGTTATTAATCACATGTGATTGATGTAATAACCATAAGTATTTAACTTGTATCCCCCTCCCCCATAAAAGCATTTAAAAACATTTAAGTCATTGATTAAGGGGTATGAACTGACCTGTAGTGAGTGGTTCTAATGAAAATGTTGGATCAGTTGCTAAGTTCCAAGTGGTGACTTGAGTACACACACGAATCCTATTTAGCATATATTGATTCATATATGAATATAATTAGTGTTATGAATAACTAATTATTGAATTGGGACCACCTTAGGGACTAGTAAACACTTATATTGAAGTGTTACAACCATATATGATTGTACGAAGGGTTATAAGGCTATACAAGAGAGTGTATGGCCAAAATACACACTATATGTGTGTGTGCGGCCAGGTGTGAGTGGTGACTTGAGTACACACGTGAATCCTATTTAGTATATATTAATACATATATGAATATAATTAGTGTTATGAATAACTAATTATTGAATTGGGACCACCTTAGGGACTAGTAAACACTTATATTGAAGTGTTACAACCATATATGATTGTACGAAGGGTTATAAGGCTATACAAGAGAGTGTATGGCCAAAATACACACTATATGTTTGTGTGCGACCATGTGTGTGGCCAGAAGGCGTGTGCTTCCTGAATACATGGTGTTCTTGGTGTTCTTGGTGAAAGATGTTACCTTTCTGGGTGATACTTGAGAGGATTTCCAGGTCCTAGCTATGTAGAAGTGTAAGAAACGATCAAAATGACCAAGGATAGTATATATAGGAGGGTGTGTGCGGCTGGAGGGGTGTGTAGTTGGCCTGTGTGCAGCTGGCTGGCCGCACACTCTAGTGTGTAGCCGCACACACCTGGTTTGGTGTGTTTGGCCCGATTTTTTGATGCTACACCCAATCTAACCCATCCTCCGACACGTATCTCAATTATACTAAGCTTTAAGCACTCTTTTAGACCCAAAACTTCATTATAAAATAGCAAAACGAAGCTAACTTTGATAAAAATGAAGAATGTAAGCTAGAAATTTCGGGTTGTCACAAGCAAGTCTTCAAAAAAAACGAAGCAGGTTCTTGTGATTGAACCTGAGCCAATTTAGCCAGAGTCGATTATTCCTGATACCCAGGTCACTGAAAAGGAAGTCATTCCTTCTAAGACTGGTGTATTCAGACGAATTAAGCTGAAGTTGAAGAGCAAGCGAAGATCATCACGTACGAATGTTGTTCGTAAACCACAAGTATCTCATCAAAAGGTGATTTTTCGGGAAATTCCTGCCCCTGCTTCTCCATCATCAAAGAAGAAAATGGCTGCTGACATGGCTAAGCATATTTCTGAGAAGAAGAAGCATAAGTTGATTCACTCTTCTAATTCTACAGTTGATGAGATAGAAGTTATTCCAAAGACTCCAGAAACAGTTCTTATCAACGAATCTTCTAAAGTTGATACTTTAGTGACTCAACCACCCGAAGTTTCGATTGCGAAGACAATTACTATGGAGGCTCGAACTTCAGACATCCCTGTAAACATATTTGATATGGATATAAATGTCATCATGGGTGAGGATACTTCGAATAATGAAGCTAAAGGTAACACTTCGAATGTGGTTTCTGAATCTCTCATTTCTTTGCCTTCTCAGATTACCCCTATTATTCCTACAACATCCACCACTGATTCTCGCACATTTACTCACATTATTTCACATCCATTCACAACTCTCTTTTCTTCACAATTAACTGATCCACCTACCACTACCTCTCCACTGAAAGATTCATTCTTGGAAACTAAAAATGAATCAGAAGGTTTAGGGGGAACCTTTGAAAACCTGGAGTTTGATGAAGAGGAAACTGATTTCCTGGATCATATCCTAATGACGATGAAATAGTTTAAGATTTTGAATACAAAGCTCAATTCAATTATTCAATCTCAAGTTAACATTAGGGAGGTCATGTTGTGTCAAGTCTGGAAGTTGATGGCATGTTGTCACTGCTTGAAGGGAGGCTGACAACCAAAGTTTCTGGAATAATTCAAGCTTCTGAGTCCCGATTAATGGCAAAGATTGATCTTTGTGATAAAAACAATGAGTCATGGGTAAAGTCACAGAAGTCTGATTTTAAATCAAACTTACAAGATTTGAAGATGGTGGCAAAAGAAATACATGTGCTCTTCGTTCAAGATGTTAAGAAGGTCCGAGAAGAGGTAAATTTCAAAATTCAGGAATTATGTGAAGATATGGAGAAGGAAATTTCGGTTGTTCGTACTGAATTCGAATCCATCAACAAGAAGGTGGATATTATCTGCGAAGCTGTTGCAAAGTTTTCCAAGCTCTATGAAAGCCTGAGTCCTCAGATTACTCAGCTTTCAACAACTGACAATAAAAATTTCATGGAAGTATTCAAACTTCTGAAAGAGCTCAAAAGTCTATCATCCAAGCCTGCTTTGTCCATACTATCTTCGGAAGATTTGATCCAGAAATTTTCCAAGTTCGAAGAATTACTTGTCCAAAAACTGGCTCCTTTATCCCGCATCTCCAGTCTGTCACACCCCCAAACCAAGGATGGCGGAAACGTCTGGGGGTGGAGGACTTCATGTACAGTATCACAACAACGTGTATAATAGTGCTCAAAGTAAAAACAACCACCATATATATAATTGCAAAAGTTACACCAAAGTATATGTTTACATGTTTCAAAAGCAATTACATTATGATGACAAAATAATTTGTTGACGGTTTAGCGTCCCATCCTTAAGCGATGAAGTTTTCCTGTTTCACTGATTTCCTGAGAATACAAGTAGTTTTAAAGAGTGTCAACACAAAGGTTGGTGAGTTCATAAGAGTTTTGTTTGAAGTAGAAACCGTTTTTCCTTGTAAAATCGATTTAGTTTGATTTCCAGAAAATTCAATATTTTCTTAGTTAAGTATGAATAGAAATAATCCTACATGATGCTGTAATGAACCCTAGAGTAATCCGTAGAGTTCCTCTATAATCGTCCAACATATAAAGTTATATAAGGCTTAACTTAGATAAAACGTTGAATATAGTGGGTCTGCCCTAGGTCCACAACCCAACGAGGAACAGGAGATGAGGCGGGCACCACCAATTCTAGGCCAATCAAGACTAAATTCTTATATGACTCAACATATACGCTCAGCGACTATAGTTGAAGTCTAACAATTTTAGAGGAAGTGTAGTTTTAATATCATAATAGCTTTGTATAGAGACCCGACACTTTGTATTTGTACCCCTTTTTGTATAGAGACCTGGTACTTTGTATTTGTACCCATAGAGATAAAAGGTGATTTTAAATCGACATAAAACTCATTTAGGTTTTAAAAATAAAATCCCGTAAACTTATGGATTGTTCCCTATGTGAGCCGTTATAATCATACTATGACTATGTGAACCTGCCACGACGTTCTCAGTGTCGCGAAAAATGAAATGACATTTGTCACCCGTAGACCTGCAGGTCCAACTGTAGCTAGCAGCAAGGTGTGGGGTGTCAATCCCAATATAGATCTATATACAAGTATCACGTTCTCCCTCAAGGAGATTCTGATTATAACTACCAGGAATTATATCCCGCACTCGGACGTACGGGGAGAGAGAGAGAGAGAGAGAAAATAGAGAAACTCACAATATAGGATAACAAGTTTACGTGAAATGTGTGTGAATATAAATATTTCTTGTATGAATGTACCCTTCTTGTACGAGTGCGTAGAGTGATGTATCATAAACTATACCTATTATAGTTTATCTAAAATGTATGTACTATGTATGAACTCCTTTATGGAAAAGTATTAGTGTTGTGAATTTATTGAACCATAGCTTAATAAATTTACGTGAAATGTGTGCGAATAGAAATCTTTCTTGTATGAATGTACCCTTCTTGTACGAGTGCGTAGAGTGATGTATCATAAACTATACCTATTATAGTTTATCTAAAATGTATGTACTATGTATGAACTCTTTTATGGAAAAGTATTAGTGTTGTGAATTTATTGACTATACTTTTTATAGTTTAATAGCACGTGTTCCAAAATGAATGAATAATATTTAATATGAATGTTTTAGTTTCAGTTCATAATGATAAACTAGCAAGGAAACACATTCAAATATTAGAACTTATGATTATACACTTTGCTCAACATAATACAAAGTGTTATGATATTTACATGCTGTTGGCAAAATTTAGCAATTCTGCCCTGTTTTGGAAAAATCATAGAAAAATCATACAAAGTCGAAAACTAGATCCGTAATTTCTGAGAGTTCACAAAATGTGTCTAGTTTGCTCATAATTTTTATCACAATTTATAATGACCTCTAACTTGGGTGAATAAGTCCATAATCACAGACTGGTCCGGATTGTTGTTTGAAATGATAGGCAGTTTTGTAAAAATCACCATAAATTGTAGAAAAATCGTATGGAGATGTGCAAGTAGCCATTTTAAAGCTAAAAACTTGAACTATTTGCACCTTGTACAGTTTTGAAAACAAAAGTGTTTAAGATGCCCAAAACAGTCCGTGAATGGAGTTGAACTTTTCTGATGAAGGCTGTTAGAAAAATTTAGATATGTTCTTAGTGTTTTAACTTGTATTCCCCCCCTGAAAACTTGAGAAAACATGAAAATGTAGGGGTATGAACTCACCTTAAGTGATTCCAGTAGGTAAGTGTTGAAGAAGGAAAGTGTTCAACCCAAGAACACTTGAAGAATCACTTGAAGATTCGAAGATCTAACACAATTATGAGAGAGTTTGTCTAAGATATCCATGATTTGAGTGGAAATAAATGAGATAATCATAAATAGAATGGATTATGCTTACCAAATGTGGAGGAAAAACTCAAGATCAGCCCTTGAATCTCGAATTTCTAGAGAGAGAAAGTGAGAGAGGAAAGAGTTTGATCTTCTTGTGAAATGAGAGCAAATGAGAGAAGTGAGGAGAGAGGATGAATAATCAGCCCTCAAAAACGTGGGGAGGAGGGATAATTGAGTGGAAAAGACATTGATGTGACCTAGGTAAGGTGGAGAGGTGTGGTTAGTCAAAGAGTGGGTGTGGGGTGGTTGCTTGTGACTTTGGATAAGGCAAAGTCAACACTCCACCTTTAATAATTCATCCATTTGATTTTCATTATTTAAATAATGATTTTCATCAAAATATGTTTAAATTATGAATATTTAGAGTTTATAATGTTAAAATATAATTTCTGGAGAAAATCCCGCTTTAAAATCATGAAAAAACGGGCTTAAAATGTCAAAAATATCAAAAATGGGCTAAAAGTGGCAATTATGCGAAATCTGGCCGAGTCTCGGCCTTCTGGTGCTGAACCGAGAGAGAGAGAGGCAGAAATCGAGAGGAGAGAAGAGAAAGGAGGGAAGAAGCCGAGAGGGGAGAAGGGAGAGGGTAGGAACCGAGAGGTGGAAGGGGACAGAGAGGCGCGCGAACAGAGAGCGAGTTAGCGAACAGAGAGGCGGAGGCGGACCGAGAGGCAGAATAGCGGACAGAGAGTGGGACGGACCGAGAGGCACCGAGAGGGACCGACCGCTCGGTTGTGAACAGTACTCTCGGTTCCGGTTCTTGCTTCTTGGGCTCGGTCTCGGTTCGGTTCAGCATCAGGAGGGTTCGGCTCTACTTTCGGTTTCGGGTACTTGCTTCTTGCTCTCGTTTCGGTTCTCTTGGCCACCAGAGGCTCGGTCTCTGGTCTCTTGGCCACCAGAGGCTCGGTCTCTGGTCCTAAGAAGCCTCTCATTCCGGTTTCGGTTCCTAAAGCCTATTTTTCTCGTTTTCGCCCCGTTTTAAGCCGTTTTTGACCCGGTTAAGGGCCGGAATGACCCGAATGATTCCAAAAAGTTACGGGAAACTTTTGAGAGAGATTTGGGAGAGATTTCTCACACTTGGAGAGATTTGGGAGAGATTTGACATTCTTGGAGAGATTTCTCATACAAAGAGATATTTGAGAGAGATTTCACATACTTAGAGGGATTTGGGAGAGATTTGACATTCTTGGAGAGATTTCTCATACAGAGAGATATTTGGGAGAGATTTCACACACTTGGAGCGATTTGGGAGAGATTTGACATAGTCAGAGATAGAGTGAAAACGATTGAGAGGGGATCCATGTGTGACAATTGTGAGTGTCCGGCATCGCAATGCATGGTTCGTAAACCCTGTTAAGCCTTGTTTAAGGATCTTACACACTCCCGATGAGTATGCATCATTGTTTTATCAGTTTGGCTCGCCACGTAGTACAGTTTTTAGGTTAAAGAGATCTAGTTGTACGTACTTTTCGATTCATGTTTTCTTATTAGAGTAGCGACTTGTTTAGTAAATACTGAGCGTAAGTCCAAGCACACACGGGTTAGTGGAGCTGACCGGTTTGACTTGTTGACTTTATTGACTTTGAATTGACCAGAATATGACGGTTGTCACATCATCCCCCCGTTAAAGGGAATTTCGTCCGAAATTTGCACTTCGAATGGGATCCAGAATTCAGAGGAAAGATGGGATGACTTTTCGTAGTACAAGAATTTGATTATGGCGAGGAATAACTCGCCCGATGTCACATGATTACTACTATGCATGCTTTAATCGATGCTAGATTTATCATATAAAGAATTTCGGGATTTAATAAAGAATTTCGGGATTTAAATGTCGATGTTAGAAACACGTACTGATATTTGCGGGCAGTTCCGGAGTGGTTTTCTCCCTCGGTGATTGCAAACACCCTCCCACCACCAAGCAGCCCTCTCTTGTCCTTGGGCATTCCTTTTAAAGTGTCCTGTTTCTCCACACTCGTAACAGGTTGGGCTTACTCTAGAGCCAGGTACCTGGTTGATTAGGTCGTGCTGGTGCCTTACAGAAACGAGCAGTGGCCCCTCTCTGTCGCAGTTTTGCAATGCATCTTTCGGGCCCCAGTGTGATGGAAGTTACACTTGTTGCATTTTGGAAGTGTTCCAGCGTATGGTTTCATGGAGTTGGGTGTGGTGAGGGTTGTGCAGCATGAACAGCAAGTCTGTTGCTTCCTAGCGAGTGCCTTGGGTTGATTGGTCCTTCTTGTTGTCCCAAAGCTTTCTTTCGTTGTTCCCTCCTCTTGCTTGGGTAA